TAAAGAGTACATTTTGAACTTCCTGAATGATATGACGTAATGAACATATTGAAACACTTAAATGAGTGGAAGTCATTGAGCATTACATGGAAACCCCAAAAATTGTTTTTTTGGTTCTATTTCATAAGAAATATTGTTAAAAAAAATATTTCAAAAAACAGATTCTGTAATTTTTAATTTAATTTAATTAATATTTCAATTTTGAAATGAAAATTATAAACAAAAAAGTTAAAGGGATGTAACTCCTTCTTAATTAACATAACTGAAATACAAATACATTCACACTTCTCACATCACACACAAAACACTTCCACAGCTATTATTTATTTGTATAATATTTTACAATGTATATAAGCTATATAGGTATCAAATCACACAGATATTGGCAGACATTGACTAAAATTCCATGTGAAAATATATGCACTAGTCACAGTTCCGAAAACTGTTAAGTTATTGTAATTGTATATGCAAACAGATAGCTAGTCTATGTGTAATTCAATGTATAAGATGGAAACTGTAAAACAAGACAGAATGAACAAATCTTAAAGCAAACAAACATGCTCAGCTGAAAACTCCTATGTCCATAGAAGAATACCATTTATAGAAAAGTAGGTAAAGTTGAAAAAGGATCTTTTCCAAATATTTTTACTTCTTCGTGGAGTATAATTGAAATAGGAATAGAAAAGTATAAAAGTATAAAGTATAAGGTCATGGCTGGTTAGATCATATAGAGATTAAAACGCCTCGATTTACCAATAAATAACTGTACATCATTAAGTAACTGTCTGTTTGTTAGTCCATCACAATCAGGACAGCCTTGTAGAAAAATGTTTGTATCAATATGGTTATGCTTTCCATAATTATCAACAGAAGTAAATAAAGTAAGTCTGAGATCATTATACAATGGACATTCAAGAAAATAATGGGAAACTGTTTCATACTCAAAAGAGCAAGCACAAGAGGGACAGACAGTTAAATGGTCATTGAATAAATCAAAATTTAAATTGCTACAAAAGTTTCTAAGTTGACAAAGAATAATATTGGCCCGTCTATCACCTTCAGTTTTAAAAATTAAGGTTGACTTATTATCGATAATAATATCTTTATTCAGTTTGTGTTTAAAGAGTTGGGGAGTTTAAGAGATCATTATCAGTGGTGTTAGTTGTGCGGCACATTAGAGGGGGGGGGGGGGGAACTGTCAAAATAATTGTTAGTTCTGCATATTGGCGGATTAAACAGTCTTGTTTGTCTGAGGGAATTGGGATTATTGTTTTGATTGTTACTGAAAGGATTTAAGACATCTTGTAAGTATTGAGGTGACAGCCCATGCATTATTTTATACATCTTTATGTGTTTGTGTTCATTTCTTCTTGTTGACAGAGTTTACCAACCGAGTTTAATATAAACTCTAATATGAGATGTCCTAGATCGAAGGCCAGTAATGATTCCAGCTGCTTCTAGTTGAATAGATTCTAGAAGTTCTTTAGATTGTTGAGTGCAATTATCCCATACTATGTCTGCATATTCCAAAATTGGTCTTATAAATGCTATATACATTTTAATTAATGATTTACGATTGACTTTAGTTTTAATGTGACGAAGAATATTTAATCTACTATAAGCTTTTTCATATATAATCAGAATGTGTTGTTTCCAAGATGCATCATCTTTTAAAGCCAGTCCTAAGTGTTTATGCGCTGTTGAGTCAGTGATTTGACTGTTTTGGAAAGTTATTGGAGGGTGATGTGTGTAATGTTTTCTAGAAAATATTACAGATTTAGTTTTGTTAGAGAGATCATTTGTTAGAACTTGTGCTTCATGTGCTGGGTTTTCATTTAAAATTACATATAAGGAGGTGTCATCTGCAAAAACCTTAATATTAGTTGAAACATTGTCAGTGATGTCATTAATATAAAGGAGAAATAGTAAAGGTCCCAGAACAGATCCCTGAGGTACCCCTGCATGTATACCCTTAAACTGTGAGTGATAACCTTCAGTGGTGACTCTTTGCAATCTATCAGAGAGATAATTTTCAAACCATAAAAGTAAATTGCCATCAATTCCATACGTTTTTGAGTTTATGTAAGAGACCTTTATGCCACACCCTATCAAAAGCTATGCTAATATCACAAAACAAATCTGAGCTCCTTCCCCTGGTCCATATTGCTAGCAATTTAATTATAAATAAATAGTAGTTGACTAACAGTAGAATCACTTGTTTCAATTAGATAGTTGTAAAGATATTTGAATACAATTTTTTCCATTATTGTATACTGATCATATATCATAGCTGTAATTCAATGTCATAAATCTAAAACAAATATCCTGAATACTACATTCAGACTTCCTGAATAATATGATGTAATGAGTAGAAATACGTTATACGCATAATTAACGGTGTGAACAATTTTCAATACTCGTTCTCTTAATATGTATATGACGTTATTATGAATTGTTGAGCAGAATAGACGCGAAGATCATGTGAACGATCTACATCAGCAGCTGTTATTTATAAAGAGGTGGAATATTATTATTAGATATTTTTGTAGACTTCATTGACTTTCTTACGAACACGAACAGCTTCCTTCACTTATCTCTACCTTAACAATGCTTACACTACTTAAAGATGATTAAAACACTTGTTTGATTGAAAAGTCCAAACAAATGCAGGTTTATAAGATTATTTTATTTTTAAAAAACCCAGACAAAGAATGTCAAGTATGTACGTAATTAACTAGACAAAATACCGACAGGTACTATAACTCAGTAAAACTGTTTGTTACATCAGCTACAGTAAGGGATATGATACTAGACTCAGAATATGTACATAATAGGTTGTACAGAGTACCTGACAGTTCATTGTACATGTGATAAATTACCACATACCTACTTACCCAGTTGACGGACGATGCCGTTAATTTAATAACCTTGTGTTGAAACTAATCCTGTGTAAAATTAATGCCATAAATCTAAAACAAATATCCTGTTTCAAAGTGTTTGCATAACCTGCTATAATGTAACGAATCAGAATTGAAGAAATAGATATAAAGAGTACATTTTGAACTTCCTGAATGATATGACGTAATGAACATATTGAAACACGTTATACTCACAATTTACTGTGTGAACAAATCTTAATACATATGTTCTTTATAACTCTCCACCTCTCTGTGCGTTTGAAAAGATAATATTGTATCTGATGTTATTACTTATTGTTGATAATGTGAAGCTTTGTCGTCTAGGGTGCTGTGCATTTCCTCTTACTTCTGGAAAATAGTTACCACACATATAAATACATACACTTCATATACACAACAGAGTGCATTTTACTGTGACGAACAATTCATACCAAACAGTTTCCTATCACCCTCCCAGAACCACGGAGCCTTGGAAGGGAAATGGTTAAAATATTTAAACTGAGAGTTCGGGTAAGAAGTCTGTTATCTGGGTTCTTAAATTCGTTTCACTATGTCCCTTCACGGGCTTCGCACAATACGCTGTAAAACGAAAAAAAAATTTGATTTGATGTGACAAAGTATTGTTAAGTAGACGGGTAGATCACGTGAAAGGTTAACCCATTGTTAACACGCATACAATAAAATAATCTATTATTAATACACACTGTGTGATTCATAAATTCAAGTCTATTATTGGAGCATGTTTTGTTGGACTGTTTCAATAAACTATTTTAACGAACACGAATCGCTTTCTTCAATTATCTATTTATAAAACCATACCATCGGACTTCAGGTTACATAAAAGAATTCCGCCCAATAATAACACATGATCATTTTCTAAACATTTTCTTTAGGTTGGTAAGTATAAATAGTAGAAAGGTTATGTAAGTGTTTTTGTTTGACGTTTGTACCATTTCACATTATCAGAAAATCTGCTGAAGGTGACAGGGTACGTATCGTACTAGCAACCACAACGTCACACATAAAACACTTACTGGTTGTGATGCATAACCTTTCTGCTATAATATCACGTGATGACATATTTATAGCAATCGGTCCACTGTTAATAACATCAAAGCTTTTTATCTATATATCAAGATAGCAATTTATATTTTGAGGAGGTAAAGGGGTCCATTCTGTAGAAAGTGCCTAAGAATAAAAACAAAATGTTTGCTTGAAAATATCTTTATTTAAACTTTTCGATATTTGTTTCCAGAAATTTTCAGTTAAAAGCTTAAAAGGGAATCGGGTTTTCTTCCGTTGCACGTTAGAACTGATCACGTAACGAAGACTTAATGAGGAGAATGACAACGCGGCACGGGATACATAAATAGTTTGATCGGGTGAATATATGTAACAGTGTGCTAGGTTAACATTGGTGAATATATGTAACAGTGTGCTAGGCTAACATTGGTGTTGTTGTTGTGGCAAGATCTCGTACATGGCTATAAATAATATCAGTTTAACGATAGTATCTATGTGTGTGAACCTGTTAAAGTGCATGTATTTGTGTATAGACTTATGTCGAGTGTGTGTATGTACATGTGTGTATGATAAGTAAACAATATCTTACCTTTAGTAAATACTAAATACCTTGGCTCTTCCATTCTCTGTGTCTCCTTATCTTATTTAGTTATGATTATTACATCCGTATATTATATTACCAAAGAAGTATTAAACACATGCACAGTGCTGACAAGGAACTTGTCTAACTTTCACGGCAATCCGCCCTGTATATTATACATTGTACATTACATATTTTCATTTTATTAGATGGTTATGAAAATGCATTCATAGTGTTATTGTTACTTCTGCCGAATCACTTTACTGAAATTTGGCAACAATATATGTTTAAACTAAACTAAAGCACCCTTCTGTATCCCTCTAGCGTCTCTGTCCTTGGTTATCCACATTTTGACAAACTGATGGAGTTTTCCCCCCTAAATATCCTGCTTTTTCCTCATTTTAATTTTTCTTCTCATTTTCTTCTCACTCATATCTCACCAATTTTACACAGAATTTAGTTTTCACATTTTCACATTTTCATAAATCACAATTGGCTTCACATTTTGATCCTTCTGTTGCTTCTTTAGATGGCAATACCGTCACATTTGTATGTTTTTCTTCATCCGTCACCTCATATGTCCAGGTATGTTTGGGATGTTTTGGTCCATGTTCCCGCTGACACCGTGTATTGAATCGTCTGTTGAGTATCGTCAGTATACAGATGACGGAGGATACCAGCAACACAACGGTAATACATATTGAAACTTTTGGAATCGGGTAAGTATTTGGTGGTAGCTGAACTAAAATAGATTTTGAAAAAATTATAAGACAAAGAAGACAAACTATAGCAAATCCGACACGTTCTACGGAATCGGCGGGAAGCAGTAAAACAAATAAATCCAGTATGAATAACATTACGAACGGAGACACAATCATCAGTTGGTGTAAACCATGATTTCTAGATATTTTGATCTCAATGTTAACGTAAAACCTGCCTTCTATATCTACTACTGTCACGGAGGATGATACATACTCCCAGGCATCACTTTCTACTAAATCTGTGACGTCTGCCGTCGACGTAGCGATAATGAGTCGCAATTGCGATGACGTCATCCCTACTGGTGACAGAGCAACTGCGCATGTCTGAACATCAAACGGATAATCGGAGACGTCATAATTACAAACTGCCCGTAGTTTATCATCAAACGTCCAGACGGCCGTCCCATCATACACAAACTGGACGTTGTACTTCGGGTGACCCAAAGAATCAGATGTGTCGAAACTTTTGATTACAGTAAATTCTGGAGTCCACACAGTGTGTCTCGGCAAAGTGATACTGTACGCCCCTCCGCGCATGCTCGGGGTCCATGCCATCCTTGGATCATTCCACTGAGTGGTGACACTGCCCATAACGGTAAACTCTCCGGTTGTCACATCAACGGTCTTGATGAAGTTTAAGCTGAAGGTCAAGGTCATATTTATCGCCTGATGCTGGTCGTCGGCGGTCGGGCGAACCCTGGCGTCATATCCGGTTAGCAGGTGTGTGTAAAGTGACGACACATCCGCCATGGTCTCCGCTGTCACGACATTTACATTTAGCATAATGAACATTATTACAATACATAATAAGGTAAGTTCCATGTTGCTGTTTTTTGTTCCGTTGGGTTCGATTCCAATGCACATTTCGTCATACTACTCCATTTTATGAAGCCTTGTATCCATTTTCCCAGATTACAGAATCAGGTCTGCAGTTCGTTTGTGTTCTGTCCGGTTCACCATTACACAAAAGTACTCAAAGGTATTTTTGGACAATATCCAAGAGAAATGATTTCATTCATTAATCATGTAAATGTATAACAAATGTATACCGGCTCCTACAGCGAAGACTAGGCTGTTATAGTCCATATATTTATAAGTTATGATAATTCGTCCGCGGAAAGGCTGAAACGTTCTCCTGATAACTTAATGCTATTTAACATAATACAAATTTAAGCGGAGGCTTTTGATCCCTGCCTGACTCTGTACACAGCGCGGCGTGACTTCGGACGTGGTCAGTGTAGGGACTGTCTGACCATCCGTTAAACACGAACTCACTTGTCTACAATTAGCTGCATAAGTTAAATATAATGAATCAGTCGGATTAAAAGATCATTTAAATCAAAATGTGACAAGGAACACCTATTAGTTGACTTGAACATATGATTAAGCTTAATGATAGCCTAGGTAAGCTGACAATGTAGTAATGACTTTCGTATAATTCGATCTTACCGTGTATAACGCTAGGTTAGCTTAAGTAAGTGTTCAGTTAACATTGAATTGGATATATCGCTCTTATTATTAAAACTACAGACGAAATTTTTATGTCCGGGGATAAAAATTATTGAAACTTAATTGATATGGACAAATTATTTATATTCCTGTCCGGAATTTATAGAAAATGAATTTCAAAATTTGATTTAACCTACCATTAAGCTGACTATGCCTGATAGACTCCATACCTATTGTATCAGGGTTTTCTGATTTAAGAATACAATGGTAAACCTTGAACCCGTTACGTTTTCGTACATTAATATTTCATATACGAATAAACATCGGTGTCTTCGTTAGCTTAGACAACTGCTGAAGAAAAATAAATAAATAAATAAATAAACAATTCTGATGAAAATTTAAACAAATGTTCCCGAACAAATAAATCCCAGCTGTCAATTGTCAACATCAACTAGGACAACGCCTGCTATTATTGACAGAACCTCCCACCATACACTGTACACAAACGTCCCTACCCCGCACGGTACATGTACCATTGGTTTTAGTTTAACGAGACAGGCTGCATTGTGCTCCTATTTGCACTCGTTTATTTTGTCTCCCTAGTGCAAAACCTCTTGAATACAAATTAAAATGTGAGAATAAAAACGATCGTCCTGGATCAGATAAAGCGAGAATACGCAGATCTGAAAGAAATGATAATTAACGAATATTGTACAAGCACCTTTCTGACCCTGACTGGTCGATAAAAGTTCAAGGTATCATACATTTGGTGTTCTCCTATATACAGGTAAGGTGTTGGGATTCAGATTCAGATTGTTTTATTCCTTGTGTAAGACACATCGGAGAGTAGACATACAAATAGTACAGTATATTACAAATTTACAATGATACATGTATACAATAATAGTCAAATACAATGTGATGCATATTGTAAAATGGCATACGTGATAACTCATTAATCGTGCAGTACTACGAAATAACATATCATAAGAGACAGCATTTTACACTGAAATACACCAACATCGTAAGGTTCCGGTACAGTGAAATCATAACAATAGTATATTACAATGATAATACTACTATGATAACTTTCAATGACGTACGTTACAGGTAATGATAACAGGATTAATATATTTACATACATTGTATCGCACATATGTCTCGAATAAATACACTCTAGTAGAACAGTGAAGAGTGGGAGTGTGCTAGGTGAGATTTGGTGAACAGTAGGATTTAATTACAGGTAAATTATAGCCTGTACTGTTATGTGTCTTACCGTATAAATTATAGCCTGTACTGTTATGTGTCTTACCGTATAAATGCATACATAGGGAAATAGCGCAGCACTTATCTTTGCTGTTAAGTTATAATTATTCATGATATTTCTATGTCATATATTAAACTCTTCACCCTAACATAATATCCATATTTTCCCGTTTATGCTATACACTTACTTTTTTTTTACTTTTCATTTTTCACTTTAAATGATAAACTTCATCGTTTTCCGAGTCAGTAGAAGGGCTACAAGAATGCTGATTAACTTTGAAAATCATTGTAAGCAGTGAAATTTAGATGTAAGTTTAGACAAAACAATAATTACATTTTCGTAAAAGAGGAAGAATTTATAACAATGAAATATGGTATTACATGTATAAAGGTAGCATAGTAGAATGTGAATGGATGGGATTTTAAGCTCAAGTAATAAATTCAATAACATACAAAAACAATTGGCTACTCAAGGGCGTAAATCTACTTTTGTATATTTGTATTATTCTCTAAATACTCAAATTTGCAATTAAGTATTTAAACCATGCTCTATCTTTTCGAAACCGTACTTGTTATGGATGTTAAATCTGGAGTTATGTAATGCATTGTTTGTAGAAAAAGGTGAACTTTTGCAAGATTAATTAAATGTGAAAAAGTCATTAAAATATAATGTGATAAGCTGTGGATTATGTCGCTTCCCGTTGAAGGTAAGCATCAACTGGTTTAGGAGGATAAAATATTAGTTCAGATTTGTATATAGTGATCTATATCTGCATTTTATCACATACCTGTTGAATCTTGTTATAGTAATACAAGCAATTTTCAGACCATGAAACACAACGTTCTGTATTGCACATGTGCTATACGGAATGTTGTATTTACCTACTAGCCGGAACTACTTTTTATGGGAATCCCCTTGTCATGGCGAACTGAAAAGTTCCCGATATTTACAAAAAATATTAAAGTTTATAAACTCTTTGTAACGATCTCCACCAAATGCGGAAGGTGAGTGATAAAAGCAAGACCACACACTTGTATTTTTCTAACGAATCAGAAAACACTCATTTATTGCGTGGACGTATATGTTCGTCCGCGCAATAAAGTCGTGCTTTCTGATTCGTTAGAAAAACACAAGTGTGTGGTCTTGCATATATATTAAACAGTTACAGGTTTTAGTATTTACATAATTTCGGATTGTCGGAGTTACATGTATATGGTTAAACCCATACAGTGTAAGTAACCAAAAGTTAATTATGAAATGGAGGTACAATTATTGATCAGGGTGAACAGTCTCCGATAAATAGTTCACAGAATTGTTTTCACGTAAACAACTGTTGGTACATGTTTTTCTCATCAACGTTCCAGTTAAGTATATAATATGTCTGACCAGATTAAGTGCTTCTTAACACTCATTGGCACTGTAAGATATAAAAATGTTACAAGAGAACTAAGGCCCTGTAGGGAATGTAACTCCACAGACATGAAAGATAAATTTCACTTTCTATAAATATGTAGTATTAATGTTATTCAGTTGTTAAGAGTCAAACATAGTTAACAGCTATGTATGTTGGGAAAATTATCTTTGAATTAAGCTATGGTTCACCCGTTGTCAGTATAATGTGAGCGGGCGGAATGTTGTGCTGGGTGCCTTCGGCATGGTATTTCAGTGAGATAGCACTATAAAGTCGGCATCAGATCCGCGCTATCACAAGGAGGCAAGCACACCAACATACCATGTCTCATGCATACACACACGCAAGCACGAATACACTACACACAAGGAAGCACGTCCTTAAATGACCTTAAAGGACGTTAAACAAAATTAAACCAAACTAAACCAAACCACTTAACTGATAATCTTGTATATGATGTACATCGATCATCTCTATACATTCTCTATAAATTGCTTGTTCATATCATGTACTTCTGGTACACCCTCCAAGGCAGGGCATGATCGTGTCCTCATATCGTTCTAACACTACGTTAAAAAACAATATTGTTCAGCATCTGTAATCTGTTTGTTATCCTGATTTACACATGACCTCTCCCGCCAAGAGCTGATTATGACGTCATATAGGATTGTTTTTGTGACGTCATAGCATTGTTTCCTTATGCGTCAATCTGTCATTCCCTAGGGAGTGACAGAAGTGAGTGACAGAGAAATCGTACCCTATTGGGTGACAGAGAAATCGTACCCAAATGGGTGACAGAGAAATCGTCCCCTAGTGGGTGACAGAGAAATCGTACCCTAGTGGGGGACAGAGAAATCGTACCCTAGTGGGTGACAGGGAAATCGTTTCCTATTGGGTGACAGAGAAATCGTATCCTATTGGATGCCAGAGAAATCGTACCCAATTGGGTGACAGAGAAATCGTACCCAATAGGGTACGATTTCTCTGTGACCCACTAGGGTACGATTTCTCTGTCACCCAATAGGTTACGATTTCCCTGTCACCCTATTGGGTGACAGAGAAATCGTACCCTATTGGATGCCAGAGAAATCGTACCCAAATGGGTGACAGAGAAATCGTACCCTAGTGGGTGACAGAGAAATCGTACCCTATTGGGTGACAGAGAAATCGTACCCTATTGGGTGACAGAGAAATCGTACCCTATTGGGTGACAGAGAAATCGTACCCTAGTGGGTGACAGAGAAATCGTTTCCTATTGGGTGACAGGGAAATCGTTTCCTATTGGGTGACAGAGAAATCGTACCCTATTGGGTGACACAGAAATCGTACCCTATTGGCTGACCGAGAAATCGTACCCTATTGTGTTACAGAGAAATCGTACCCTAGTGGGTGACAGGGAAATCGTTTCCTATTGGGTGACAAAGAAATCGTACCCTAATGGGTGACAGAGAAATCGTGTCCTATTGGGTGACAGAGAAAATGTCCCCTATTGGGTGACAGAGAAATCGTGGCCTATCGGGTAACAGAGAAATCGTGCCCTAGTGGGTGACAGAGAAATCGTACCCTATTGGGTGACAGAGAAATCGTACCCTATCGGGTAACAGAGAAATCGTACCCTAATGG